GTAAGGAGACTTAAGTAGGTTAGTCGGAGCTAGGAACAGTGTGTTCGGGTATTTGCCAGTGAGGTAGTCATTGGGTGGGGTATCTGAGCTTGGGATTTTATTGGCAAGGTTTTTTCCTATAGTGGAGAAGAAATTTAGTCTGTTAGCTGTTTCAGTTGGTGGGAGTTGGGGTTCATCTGGTTTTGTTAATTCAATTTTGCTATTTCGTGATATCTTTTTTGTTCTTAGAATTGCTGATAGGGTTTTCCAGGTATTTTTTATATCACCTCGTAAGTTGGAAAATCTGTTCTCATAATAGTTTTTTAGCCCTTCTTATCAGGCTGGATAGGATTGACGAGTAGCATTTTGTTTGGTCTCTGGTTATGTGACCCATTCTGTACTGTTTTTCGTATAGGTGCTTTGTATTTATGGATTTGAGGATGCTGGGTGTTAGCCAGGGACTGTTCAGTCTCTTAGCTGTCATCTGGTTTTTTTTGGGGGGGGTGGCAGTGCTTGTTATAAAGGTACTGGGTCTTTTTTAGAAAATTAATACATTCGTCAATATCTGTATAGATTTCTAGCTCAGTGTGCCAGTCAATGTTTGTCACTGCTGCTGTGAAGTTATTAATGGCTGCCTCATTGTGAAGTCTGAAAGTGACTTTAGTAGTGTCTTGGGGTAATTTGCCAAGGTTTGTGATGAAGGTAGGGCAGTGATCTGTGGTATTATGTGATTATGCCTGATTTTAATAGGGATATGGTGTTGGTCCAGATGTGGTCTAGTCGGGTAACACTAGTCCCTGTAACTCTTGTAGGTTTTGTTACTGCTGGTAGCAACATGCAGTTACTCATTGTTTGTGAAATCAGTAACGTGTAGGTCCTGGTCTTGCCACCACCACGTCATTTGCGGTCAACTTCTCGGCACTGTATCTCGGTAAGTACTGATCAGAAATTTTTTTTTTGTCTTATTACCTTCACAAAAATATACTATTCTCTCTAAATGAACAACCCCTATTCAGCCCTCTGACTAAAACTTTTATTAACTCCACACCTTCTCCTAATTTCCACATTACAAATTTTCTGCATAATATTTACACCACACATTGCCCTTAGACAGGACATCTCCACTGCCTCCAACCACCTCCTCCCTGCAGCATTTACAACCCAAGCTTCACACCCATATAAGAGTGTTGGTACCACTATACTTTCATACATTCCCTTCTTTGCCTATCAAAATCATTTGATGCCCTCATCACCTTACTCTTTTCTGTGTTCACTTTCAACTTTCTACCTTTACACACACTACTAAATTCGTCCACTAACCTCTGCAATTTTTCTTTAGAATCACCGATAAGCACAGTATCATCAGCAAAAAGTAACTGTCACTTCCCATTTTGTATTCAATTCCCCATAATTTAATCCCACCCCTCTCCTGAACACCCTAGCATTTACTTCTTTTACAACTCCATCTATAAATATATTAAAGAACCATGGTGACATTACACATCCCTGTCTAAGACCTACTTTTACTGGGAAGTAGTCTCCCCCTCTTCTACACACCCTAACCTGAGCCTCACTATCCTCATAAAAACTCTTTACAGCATTTAGTAACTTAGCACCTAGTCCATATGCTTGCAACATCTGCCACATTGCTCCTTTATCCACTCTATCATATGCCTTTTCTAAATCCATAAATGCAATAAAAGCTTCCCTACCTTTATCTAAATACTGTTCACACATATGCTTCAATGTAAACACTTGATCTACACATCCCCTACCCACTCTAAAACATCCTTGCTCATCCGCAATTCTACATTCTGTCTTACCTCTAATTCTTTCAATAATAACCCTACCGTACACTTTTCCTGGTATACTCAGTAAACTTATTCCTCTATAATTTTTAGAATCTCTTTTGTCCCCCTTCCCTTTATATAAAGGGACTACACACGCTCTCTGCCAATCCCTAGGTACCTTCCCCTCTTTCATACATTTATTAAACAAAAATACCAACCACTCCAACACACTCTCCCCCTGCTTTTAACATTTCTGTCATGATCCCGTCAGTTCCAGTTGCTTTACCCCCTTTCATTCTATGTAATGCCTCACGTACCTCCCCCACACTTGCATCCTGCTCTTCTTCACTCCTAAAAGATGGTACACCTCCCTGGCCAGTGCACGAAATTACTGCCTCCCTTTCTTCGTCAACATTTAAAAGTTCCTCAAAATATTCTCTCCATCTACCCAATACCTCCATCTCCCCATCTACTAACTCCCCTACTGTTTTTAACTGACAAATCCATTCATTCTCTAGGCTTTCTTAACTTGTTTAACTCCAAAATATTTTCTTATTTTCATTAAAATTTCTTGACAGTGCCTCTCCCACTCTATCATCTGCTCTCCTTTTGCACTCTTTCACCACTCTCTTCACCTTTCTTTTACTCTCCATATACTCTACTCTTCTTATAACACTTATGCTTTGTAAATACCTCTCATAAGCTACCTTTTTCTCTTTTATCACACCCTTTACTTCATCATTCCACCTACCACTCCTCTTTCCTCCTGCACCCACCCTCCTATAACCACAAACTTTAACTATTCCAACCCTCTTCAAACCTCCCCCTCCCCCTCACTACTCATACTTGCACCAGCCCACCTTTCTGCCAATTTTTTTTTTTTTTTCAACAAGTCGGCAGTCTCCCACCGAGGCAGGGTGACCCAAAAAATAAAGAAAATCCCCAAGAAGAAAATACTTTCATCATCATTCAACACTTTCACCACACTCACACATTATCACTGTTTTTGCAGAGGTGCTCAGAATACAACAGTTTAGAAGCATATACGTATAAAGATACATAACATATCTCTCCAAACTGCCAATATCCCAAACCCCTCCTTTAAAGTGCAGGCATTGTACTTCCCATTTCCAGGACTCAAGTCAATAGTTGCTTATAATTCACTCGAACTTCCTTCTCCCTTAGTTTATACACTTTCATCTCCCTCCTACTTGTTGTTGCCATTTTCCTCTTATCCCATCTACCTCTTACTCTAACTGTAGCTACAACTAGATAATGATCCGATATATCAGTTCCCCCTCTATAAATGTGTACATCCTGGAGCCTACCCATCAACCTTTTATCCACCAATACATAATCTAACAAACTACTTTCATTACGTGCTATATCATACCTTGTATATTTATTTATCCTCTTTTTCATAAAATATGTATTACTTATTACCAAACCTCTTTCTTCACATAGCTCAATTAAAGTCTCCCCATTTTCATTTACCCCTGACACCCCAAATTTACCTACTACTCCCTCCACAACATTTTTACCCACTTTAGCATTAAAATCCCCAACCACAAGTACTCTCACACTTGGTTCAAAACTCCCCATGCATTCACTCAACCTTTCCCAAAATCTTTCTCTCTCCTCTATACTTCTGTCTTCCCCAGGTGCATATATGCTTACTATAACCCACTTCTCACATCCAACCTTTATTTTACTCCACATAATCCTTGAATTAATACATTTATAGTCCCTCTTTTCCTGCCATAGCTTATCCTTCAACATTATTGCTACTCCTCCTTTAGCTCTAACTCTATTTGAAACCCCTGACCTAATGCCATGTATTCCTCTCCAATGAAACTCGCCCACCCCCTTCAACTTTGTTTCACTTAAAGCCAGGACATCCAGCTTCTCATTCATAACATCCACAATCATCTCTTTCTTATCATTCGCACAATATCCGCGCACATTCAGACTTCCCACTTTGACAATTTTCTTATTATTTTTAGTAATTATTACAGGAAAAGGGGTTACTAGCCCATTGTTCCTGGCATTTTAGTTGACTTTTACAACAGGCATGGCTTACGGAGGAAAGATTCTTATTCCACTTCCCCATTGATATAAAAGGAAAAATAATAAGAACAAGAACTAAGATAAAATCAAAGAAAACTCAGATGAGTGTGTATAAATAAACATGTACATGTATGTTCAGTGTGGCCTAAGTGTAAGTAGAAGTAGCAAGACGTACCTGTAATCTTGCATATTTATGAGACAGACAAGACACCAGCAATCCTACCATCATGTAAAACAATTACAGGCTTTCGTTTTACACTCACTTGGCAGGATGGTAGTACCTCCCTGGGTGGTTGCTGTCTACCAACCTACTACCATATTATTTTTTATTAATTAATTTTTATTGTTTATTGTTACAGTTTGTGTTTGAAGGCATGGAGGAATCTGGTTCTGAGGGTCTGGACGATCTTCTCAAGGCACAGAAAGATGGGTTCTTAGCTGGAACTGATTATGTGTGCATTTCAGACAATTACTGGTTAGGAAAAAACAAACCTTGCATCACCTACGGGCTTCGTGGCATCTGCTACTTCTGCGTTGAGGCAAGATACTGTGTGTGCATGTGCGTGCATGTGCATGTGCTTGCCTGGTTGTGGTTGCAGGGGTTGATTCACAGCTCCTGGCCCTGCCTCTTCACTGGTTGCTGCTAGATCACTCTTCTTGCTCTGAGCTTAATCATACCTCTTCTTAAAGCTGTGTATGGGTCCTGCCCATCTCTGGAACATTGTCTCGGCCCACCTTGTCGATTCCTCTCGGTATTTTATAAGTCGTTATCATATCCCCCCTATCTCTCCTGTCTTCCAGTGTCGTCAGGTTGATCTCCCTTAATCTCTCCTCGTAGGACATGCCCCTTATCTCCGGGACTAGTCTTGTTGCAAACCTTTTCACTTTCTCTAACTTCCTTACATGCTTGGCTAGGTGAGGGTTCCAAACTGGAATGCTGTTCTTAAGTTTGCTAGGTGCCTGTATGCTGCAACAGTTATTTGGTTGATGTGCACCTCTGGAGATGTGCCCGGTGTTATACTTGCCCCAAGATCCTTTTCTTTGAGTGAGGTTTGTAGTCTCTGGCCTCTAGAGTGTACTCTGTCTGCGGTCTTCTTTGCCCTTCCTCAATCTTTGTGACTTTGCATTTGGTGGGGTTGAACTCCAGGAGCCAGTTGCTGGACCATGCCTGCAGCCTCTCCAGATTCCTTTGTAATTCTGCTTGGTCCCTCATCTGATTGAATTTTTCTCATCAACTTCACACCTGCAAACAGGGACAATTCAGTCTATTCCTTCCGTTATGTGGTTCACATATACCAGAAACAGCACCAGTCCTAAGCCTGACCCCTGTGGAACCACACTTGTTACAGGTGCCCATTCTGACACCGCACCATGACTCGCTGTCGTCTTCCTGACAGGTATTCCCTGATCCATTGTAGTGCCTTCCCTGTTATCCCTCCCTGGTCCTCCAGCTTTTACACTAATCTCTTGTGTGGAACCGTATCAAATGCCTTCTTACGGTCCAAGAAAATGCAGTCTACCCACCTCTCTCTCGTCTTACTGCTGTCACCCTGTCACAGAACTCCAGTAGGTTTGTGATGCAGTATTTCCCACCCATGAACCTGTGCTGGCTGTCGTTGACAAGCTCATTCCTTTCTAAGTGCTTTGCCACTTTTCTGATAATCTTCTCTGTGACTTTGTATTCTACACATGTTAGTGACACTGCTCTGTAGTTTAATGCTTCATGTCTGTCTCCTTTTTTAAAAATTGGGACTACATTTGCTGTCTTCCATACCTCAGGTGATATTTCTGTTTTGATAGATGTGTTGAATATTGTTAAGGGTACATATAGCACCTCTGCACTGTCTTTCAGGACCCATGGAGAGATGTTATCTGGCCCCATCGCCTTTGAGGCATCTAGCTGGTTCAGCAGCCTCTTCACTTCCTCGATTGTATGTATTGTGTCCAACACTTGGTGGTGTACCCCACCTTTCTGTCTTTCTGGAGTCCTTTGTCTCCTCTGTGAATACTTCTTTGAATCTCATGTTGAGTTCCTCACATACTTCTTGGTCATTTCTTGTGATCTTGCCTCCTTCCTTCCTTAGCCTGATTACCTGGCCTTTGACTGTTTTCCTCCTGATGTGGCTGTACAACAGCTTCGGGTCAGAATTGGCTTTCGCTGCAAAGAATTTTAAAGGGGAAAAATTTAATAGAAAATTTTTAAAAATAGAATGAGAAGGGAAAGGGTAATGGGAAAAAGGAAAGTTAAGGAGGGGGAAAGAAGTAAAAAAACAAAAAAAGAGGGGGGAGAGGGTTTTAAAAAATTTGTTGAAAAAAAAAATTTTGGGGAGTTTAAAAAAAAGGGCCAAGAAAATGGTTTTTTAAAAATGGGGAAGGAAGATTTGGAAAAGGGAAAGGGGAAGAGGAAAGGAAATTTTTGGAATTGAAAAAATTTGAAAAAAGGGGAAGCTTGATTTCGTGGTTTTGGCAAGGGGAAAAACATTTTAGGAAAAAGAGAGGTAAGGGGGGAATGGAGCAGTAAAAAGAAAGGGGAAGGGGGGTTTTATAAAAATAAAAATTTTAAAAGGGGTTTGGGGATAATTTTTAAAGGGTTGGGAAATTTAAAAAAAATGGGGAAAGGGGTAAGAATAGGGAGGGAGAGAAGGGAATTTTTTATGGGAAAGGGGAAAAAAGAGATGAAAAATTAAAAGGGGGAAAACTTTTTTGTGTAAGGAAAGGAGGAAATTTTTTAAAATTTGAAAAATTTGATTGGGGGAATGGTGCAGAAAAAAAAAGGGGGGTTTAGGAAAGGTGGGGGGTGGGACCCAGGTTTTAATTTTCTTTGGGGGCATTTTTAAAAAGGAAAAGAGGGGGGATTTAGGTTTTGGAAAGGGTAGCAGGGTTGGGGGGAAAAGTAGAGTGCAAAAATTGGGGTATTTTTCTAAAAGAGAAAAATTTTTAAGGGATGGAGGTAAATTAAAAGGAATTTAGGAAAAGGGAAATTTTTTTTCCCCAGAAAAAGGGGCCCTAGAAAGGGATGGTGTGTACCGGGTTTTTAAAAAATTTTAAAATAAGGGGGTTTTAAGAAAAAAGGGGGGTCTTGGATGGATTAAAAAAAAAAAGCAAAAAGGGGATTGTCCAGTCTCGCTGATGTGGGGGTTTGGGGGTTCGAAAAAAGGGCTGAGAGATTGGTATAATTTTGGGGGGTTGAAAAGAAAAAATTTTTGGTAAATACAGAAATTTTTGGTTATGGGTAAAAAAATTATTATGGTTGAAAAGATTGGGGGAGGATTGGAGGAGGTAACGTTTTTAGATTTTTGGGATACTTTGGATGGGTCATGTTTGGTGAACTGTTTGTAAAAAAGTTTTGGGGGATTTAGAGTTTGGGGGAAAAAAGAATTTGTTTTGGGGCAAAAGGGGAATTAAAGGTTTTTTAAAAAGTTTATAGGGTTTTAAGGGGGGGGATAAAAGTTGACGAGGGAAGGTGGAGGAGGGGGATTTATTCGGGGGAATTTTGGGGGTAATTAAGAGAAAAATTTTTTTTGGGGAATTAGGGATGGGGAAAAAATTTTGTCCAAGGGCTGGGAAAGGGGTTTGTGGTTTGGGGCAGTGGGAATGGAGGAAAAAGTTTACCAAGGTTTATAGGGGGGAAGGGGCGGGGTAGGGGTGCCGGGGGGGTTTGGGGAGGGTAAAGGGGGTTTTTTGGGGAGGGGTTGGATTAGCGGGCAAAGGGGGAGGGGGGGAGGGGGGGTTTTTGGGAGGGGGGGGAATTGGGGGAGGGGGGGGGTTTTTAAACATGCTTTTGGGTTTTTTGGGAAAGAACTTTATGGGGTTGGGGAAAGGGGAGGGAGGGTTTGGGGGGGGGGGTCAGGCCGGCCCCCCCGAAGGGGGTGTTAATGGGGTTTTAAAAACTGTTTAAAACCCCCTTCGGGGAAAAAGTGATAAAGTAATGAGGGTAAAGCCGGCCCCCTTGCCGGGGTGGGAATCCCATGTGAAATTAAAAAAAAAAAAAGGGGGGGGAAGGGTTTTTAAAAAACTTGTTTTTTTTTTTTGGGGTGTGATAATAAGGGAGACTTTTTTTTAGCACGGGGTGTGTTCGGATTGATGAATAGGGGGGGGTAGATTGGGGATTTTATTGGGGTTTTTTTTTGTGGAAAAAAAGCAGCTTTTTTTGGTGGGAGGGGGGCTTTGTTTTTTAAATTCCTTTTTGTATTCATTTTTTTTTTTTCAAAATTGGATTTTTTCCGGGTTTTTTTTTTTCCCCCGTAAGGGGAAAAATTTTTTTCTTTTATTTTTTTTAGTTTTTCACGGGTTTTGTTACATCATTTTGTTTTTTGTTTTAATTCTGATTTTTTTCCCCCGTATTTTTTTGTTTAGGATTTAAAGGGGTGGGGTTGCCCTTCACCTTTAGTGCATGGTTTTTTTTGGGGGGGGTGGCTCTTTTAAAAGGTATGGGTTTTTTTTAAAAAAATTAATAATTGTTACAAAGTTTCTTTTTATGTCCCGTTTTTTTGGGGGTTTGCGGGGTTTTAAAAAGGCCCCCCTCTTTAAAAATTAAAACTTTGTATTTTGGGGGTTAATTTCCCAAAGGTTTTTGGTAAGGGGGCATGTCTGTGGTATTAGTGATTATGTTTTTTTTTAAAGGATTGGTGTTGGTTTTTGGGGGCAAGTGGAAAATACCCTGTAATTTTGTGGTTTTTGTTATGCTGTAAAAGAGTTTTTCATTTTTTGGGGTCATGGGGTAAACTGCCCTTGACCCCGTTTTTTGGGTAACTTTTTTGGCACTGTTCTCTGTTGAACAAAATTTTTTTTTGCAACCTTAAAAATTTAAATTTCTCAAATAAAAAATTTTTTCCCCCCCTTAAAAATTTTTTAAAAAAACCTTCTCCAAATTTTCCACATTAAAAATTTTCTAAAAATTTTAACCCCACACCCTTTAACAAATTCCATTTCCCAAATTCCCCCCTGAATTTAAAACCCAATTCCCCCTAAAAAGTTTCCCCCTTTTCAACCCCCCCCTCTTTCCACAAAACTTTTAAATGTTACCACTCTTTTCTTTTTCACTTTCACTTTTCCTTTTAAAAACCAAAAAATTCTCCATCCCCTTTCTTTTCTTTAAATCCCTACACTTTTCTAAAAAAATTTAATTTTCCCCCCCATTTTGTTTAATTTCCCCAAATTTAACCCATTCCAACCCCCCCTGTTTTTCTTTTTTCAACCCATTATAAAATATTTAAAAACCTGTGACTTAAAACATCCCTTCTAAATATTTTAGGGAAAGTCCCCCCCCTTTTAACCCCTCCGGTATATCCCCTTCTTAAAAATTTAGTAATTCACCAAATTTTTAAACATTGACTTGCCCTTATCCATCTACATTCCTTTCAAACCCAAAAATTCAATAAAATTCCTTTTATCTAAATCTTTAACTTTTTTAATTAAAATTTCACACATCCCCCCCCATTAAAACCTTCCATCCCAACTAATTCTTCTTACCTCTAATTCTTCAATAATAATTTCCTAAAATTTTCCTTTTTCTGAAAACTTTTTCCCTCTATAATTTTTAGAATCTTTTTTCCCCCCCTTCCCTTTTATAAAGGGACACAACCCTCTCTCCCAAACCCCTAGGTACCTTCCCCCCTTTCATACATTTTATTAAACAAAATACCAACCACCCCAAAACTCTCCCCCCCTTTTCCTTTTTTCCCCCCCCCCCCCCCCCCCCCCTTTTCATTTTGAATGTCCGCCCTCCCCCCCTTACCCTTTCTTTTTTACCCCAAAAAGGGGTTCACCCCCCCGGAAAAAATTCTGCCCCCTTTTCTTTCTAAAAAATTTCCTCAAAAACCCCCTTTCCCCCTCCCCCCTTTTCCCCCATTAAAATCCCCATTTTTTCCCAAAACCCCCATTCATCTCAAATTTTCTTATTTTTAACTCCAAAATTTTTCTTTTTTTCTTAAAAATTTCTTACTGCCCCCCCATTTCATTTCTTTTTTGCACCTTTTCCCCCCTTTCTTCCCTTTTTTTTACTCTCCAATCTCTAACTTTTTTAAAACATATTTTTTAAAATCCTCTAAAAACTATTTTTTTCCTTTTAAACCCCCTTTTAAATTCTTTCCCCCTCCCCACCCCTTTCCCCCCCTCCCCCCCCCCCCTTAAACCAAAAAAACTTTTAACACCAATCTTTCAAACCTCCCCCTCCCCCCACCTCAAATTTCAACCCACCCCCTTTTTTTTTTTTTTTTTTTCCAACCCGGCAGTCTCCCCCCGGGGCAGGGTGACCCAAAAATAAAGAAAACCCCAAAGAAGAAAATACTTTCATTTTTTAAACACTTTCCCACCTCACACATTATCACTGTTTTTGCAGAGGTGCTCAAATACAACAGTTTAGAAGCTTACAAAAAATACAAAACAATCTCTCCAAACTGCCAATATCCCAAACCCCCCCTTTAAAGTGCGGCATTGTACTTCCCCCCTTTCCAGGACTCAAGTCAATGTTTTAAATTACTCGAACTTCCCCCTCCCTAGTTTATACACTTTATCTCCCTCCCACTTGTTGTTGCCATTTTCCCCCTTTTCCCCCTCCTCCCTTTCCTAACTGTAGCTACAAAATAGATAAGATCCCATATTCATTCCCCCTCTATAAATGTGACATCCTGGAGCTCCCTCAACTTTTATCCACCCCAAAACAAATCTAACAACTACTTTATTACGTGCTATATCAACCTTGTATATTTATTTATCCTCTTTTTTATAAAATATTTTTATTATTACCAAACCTCTTTCTTACAAGCTCAATTAAAGTTCCCCCATTTTCATTTACCCCCCTGACACCCCAAATTAATTCACTCCCTCCACAACATTTTTACCCACTTTTGCATTAAAAACCCCCCAACCAAATACTCCACATTGTTAAAAAATCCCCCTGCATTTACCCAACCTTTCCCAAAACTTTCCTCTCCCATACTTTTGTCTTCCCCCCCGGTGCATATAGCTTTCTATAACCCACTTCTCACATCCAACCCTTTTTTTTACTCCCCAAAAATCCTTAAAATTAAAACATTTTTAAATCCCTCTTTTTCCTGCCATGCTTATCCTTCAACTTTTTCTACTCCCCCTTTAGCTTAACCCATTTGAAACCCCTGACCTAATCCATGTATTCCTCTCCAATGAAAACCCCCCACCCCCTTCAACTTTGTTTCACTAAACCCGGACTCCAGCTTTTCATTCATAACATCCCCAATCATCTCTTCTTATCATTCGCCAATACCCGCACATTCAACTTCCCACTTACAATTTTCTTATTATTTTTAGTAATTATTACGGAAAGGGGTTACACCCATTGTTCCTGGGGTTTTGTTGACTTTTTCAACAGGCATGGGTTTCGGAGGGAAAAATCTTTTCCACTTTCCCCATTGATATAAAAGGGAAAAAAAATAAAACAGAACTAAGATAAAATCAAAGAAAATCAGATGATGTGTATAAATAAACATGTACATGTATGTTTATGTGGCCAAGTGTAAGTAAAGTAGCAAGACGTACCTGTAAACTTGCATATTTATAGACAACAAGACACCAGCAATCCCACCCATCATTAAAAAAAATTAAGCTTTTGTTTTTTCACTCACTTGGGGGAGGATGGAGTACCTCCCTGGGGGTTTCTGTCTCCCCCCCTACTACCTATTATTTTTTATTAATTAATTTTTATTGTTTATTGTTTCATTTTTTTTGAAGCTGGGGAAACTGGTTCGAGGGTCTGGACGACTCTAAGGGACAGAAAGATGGGGCTTAGCTGGAACGATTTTGTGTGCATTTCAGACATTTCTGGTTAGGAAAAAACAAACCTGCATCCTACGGGCTTCGTGGGCATCTGCTACTTTTGCGTTGAGGCAAGATACGTGTGTGCATGGGGCAGGGTGCTTCCTGGTTGGGTTGCAGGGGTTGATTCACACTCCTGGGCCCGCCCTTTACTGGTTCTGCAGATCACTCTTCTTGCTCTGGCTTAATCAACCTCTTCTTAACTTGATGGGGTCCTGCCATTCTGGAACATTGTTCGGGCCCACCCTTTCGATTCCTCTCGGTATTTATAAGTCGTTATCAATCCCCCCCCTCTCTCCTGTTTGGTCCAGGGTTTATCCCCTTAAAACTCTCCCGAGGACATGCCCCTTATCCCGGGGAAATTTGTTGCAAACCTTTTTACTTTCTCTAACTTCCCTTTCTGCTTGGCAAAGGGGGAGGTTCCCCAAAATGGAATCTTTCTTAAGTTTGTAGTGCCTGTATGCTGCAACATTATTTGGTTGTGTGACCTCTGGAGATGTGCCGGGGTTATACTTTCCCCAAGACCTTTTTTTTGATGAGGTTTGTAGTCTTGGCCTCTAAGTGTACTCTGTCTGCGGTCTTCTTTGCCCTTTTCCCCAATCTTTTTGACTTTGCATTTGTGGGGGGAACCCCCGGAGCCCGTTCTGGACCATGCCTGCACCTCCTCCAGATCCTTTGTAATTCTGCTTGGCCCTACTATTTTAATTTTTCTCATCAACTTCACACCTGCAAACAGGGACAATTCGTCTATTCCTTCCTTTTGTGGTTCACAATTTTCCAGAAAAGCACCAGTCCTAACCGACCCCTGTGGGAAACCCCCTTGTACAGGGGCCCATTTTGACACCCGCACCTGACTCGCTGTCGCTTCCTGACGGGATTTCCCTGATCCATTGTAGTGCCCTCCCTGTTATCCCCCCTGGTCCTCCACTTTTACATATCTCTTGTGTGGAACCGTATCAAATGCCTTCTTTACGCCCCCAAAAATGCAGTCTACCCACCCCTCCCCTCGTCTTACTGCGTACCCTTCACAGAACCCATAGGTTTGGATGCAGTATTTCCCACCCATGAACCTGTGGGCTGTCGTTTTACAACTCATTCCTTTCTAAGTCTTTCCCCTTTTCTGATAATCTTCTCTGTGACTTTGTAAATTTTCACAGTTAGTGACCTGCCTGTATTTTAAAGCTTCATGTCTGTCTCCTTTTTTAAAAATTGGGACACATTTTCTGCTTTCCCCCTCAGGTGAATTTCGTTTTGATAGATGGGTTTTTAAAAATTGTTAAGGGGACAATAGACCTCCACTGTCTTTTCAGGACCCATGGGAGATGTTACTGGCCCCCCGCCTTTGGGCATCTAGCTGGTTTTAGCACCCCCTTACTTCCTCATTGTATGTATTGTGTCCAACACTTGGTGGTGACCCCCCCTTTTTGTCTTTCGGAGTCCTTTTCTCCTCTTGAATAAATTCTTTGAATCTCATTTGAGTTCCTCACATACTTCTTGGTCTTTCTTTTGATCTTTCCTCCTTTCCTTTCCCTTTCCTGATTACCCGGGCCCTTTGACTGTTTTCCCCCCTATGTGGCGTACAACACTTCGGGGCAGAATTTGGGTTTCGCTGTATGTCTCATAGCCGTTGGGCCCCCTTCTTGGGGCGTCGTGCGGTGGTTGGGGTGCAAATTTCATCTGTGCTGCGTGTGCTGTGGCGCGGTGGCAGTGCGTGTATTGCATGGGTTGTGAGAGGAGTGAGAGAGAATTACAATGTACAGTTTTTCATACCCCTTTTCTATTAAGTAAAAATTTTTTTATTTAATTGGTGACTTTCACAAAAAATTTCACAGACCATTTGCAGGGCGGTTTTTTAAAATTAAATACATAATTTAGAGTAATTTGCAGGGTTATGCTGTGCCCAAGGACCTACATTTAGGCTGTTTGGGGGTACGTGCATGAGGGCCCTGGCTGATTTAATCTACCTTGAACACCTTCTCGACAACAAGGGCAATATTTTAATTCCCGTAAAATGAGAATTTACTATAATCAGTAAAGGGTTTAAAAAAATTTTTTCAAAAGGACCCTTCTTCGCTAAGTGAAAGGACATGAAACACCTGTAATTAAAAACAGGCAAATTAATTCGCCTTTGGGGTTTTAAATGTAGATCAGCGACGATGTGGGGTCATATCATATAACCGCAGTACACACAGGTACAACAGATTTTCTGTGCCCTAGTTTCTAGGCTTTTTCTGGGATGTTGATTTTTTCCCCAACCTAGGTTTTAAAAAAAAATTCACGGTTTTAGCTTCCATTCATCCTTCTGTTTATTTATGTTCCTTTATTTTTATCAACCTTTCCCCATTGAGTAATCATTAAGTTTTTTATGTATTTTTATTTACAGGGAAAATGGATGAAGTTGCACCAGTAACACTGAAGAAAAAACCCTGTACAAGATATTGATTTTGATGTGGGAAAATTATCAGCAAGACTAGGACTGGAAAACTTGCATCACAAAGACAAGGGAGGGTTCTGAAACATGCTTAGCTTTTTGTTGGGAGTAGGGAGAGGGAACTTGGTTTAACCTTACGGATTTTAGTTTTGGTAAGTCGTTTATTTTTGAAGGCTAAACCAGTGAGGCCCTTAAGTGCTGATATCACTTTTTCTTCCCATAATACTTTTTGATCCACCCGTTTTTTCCCATTATTCCGCCTGTACCCAGATTTTTTTTTGCCTACCCTCTTGTGGTTTTTAGTATCAAAAACCTTTTCTCTAAGAAAATGCTACCCCCATCTACCTCTGTCTTACATCTGTTTTTGTCACAGGAACCAAAAGTTGGAAGACTGGGTTTGCCCTCTTTGAAAAACCCTGTGGTTTTTTAAAAACTAGCTTTTATAGTGCCTACCACTCCCTCCATCTCCATTACCTTTCATGGGATCATGTCAGAAAACTATAGTTCACTACTTCCTGTCCCCCTTTTTTAAATGAAGGGACTATAGTCACTGCTTTTAAAATTTCGGCAACATCCCATATCCATTGATTGTCGATCCCAGCTTGGGTTTAGACGTGCTTCTGCTCCCTCTGAGCCACTGTGAACTTTATCAGGTCCCATTGCATTTAGGTCCAGAAAAGTTTTTGTTACCCTCCCCTTTTGTGTGCAGTTGTCCGTACTGTTTTTGGGGTACCTATTCCCACTTTCTGGAAAAGTCCCCGTATCCACCAAAAAGACCTCTTTAAATTACTTTTTACAACACTTCAGACTTTTTATTTTACGAGTTTTCCTTCCTTTAGTAGAATTGCCTGGGCTTTTACTGTCATTTTGATGTGGTTTTTGATTGGTTTTGGTTCAGCCCTGGCCTTTGCTACTATGTCATTGTCAGATTGTCACTCAGCCTCTTTATCCTAGCATTTTCATTTCTAACTAATCTGCTTGTATCTCTTCTTGTCTATTTTTCAATTTCTGCAGTTTTTTTTTTCTTAATCTTTTTTTTTTCCTCTACTTCTTTGGTTGAATCGAGGGCCCTTTGTCTTTGCTGTTTTCACATCTTATGCTCATGAATTTCTCTGCCTGTCAGCATTTTCCAACTATTCTTCATCACATCTGCTGACTTTCCTACCAGTTTTTCCCATTACACTGCATTCATAAATTTTCATTGCTTGGAAATTGCCTCTTAATGTTCATGTTTGTGTATACAATATTTTTTCAACAAATTTTTTTGCTGTATTTCAGATGCTTTGTCTGTGTTTGCCCTTTTAAAGCAGTCCGGAGTGATTTCAGCTTTTCCTATACTGGATAACCTTCCAGTAGAAGCTCCTTTCTGTCCTTACTACTCCAGTATGTTGTGCCATTGGCAATCTCATTAGCACCCGTTTTGCACTCATGATAACCTCTGACTAGGCACATTGCAGTCATTTTTTTTTTTCTATTACTTTATCTACAAGTCATTGCTGACTCGTCCCTACTGTTTTTTAACTTTGTTAGAATCTAGAGGGTAGAATGTTTAGATAATTACTCCCTATGTGATGAAAACTACTCAGCTCATTTCTTGAGGACTTAAGTTTTTCATATTTTTTGATCCGGTTATCATACTTAAATCATTAAGATAGTAAATTTAATGTACAGGTATTTAATTTAAATAAAATTTCCATCAATGATGGAAATTTACCATGAGGACAGATCATTATACTACCTACTACAGTATTGTAATATCAGAGTAATGTCTGTGTGGGTTAAAAATTCGTACATGAATTAGCTTCAATTTTATTTTAATAGCAAGTGGAAGTTGTGGTATTAGAAAGGTGAGTAATAGCAAATTAATTATAAAATTTGAAAATTTGCAATACAGGTACAACACCAACTTTCCAGACACTGATGGTCTGGAACCTCTTACAATCTGTACAAATTTACGAGCTGGAACTTGAAGTTCCCCCGGCCGCCAGACTAGTTTATTGGGTGGCCCACTGTTGGCATTCAGTGTAGCCGTGCTTACTTGGATTGTTTACACTGCACCTGCTAGTGGGGGACACCCCAGTTCTTTGAGTTTCTTAGCTTATTTTGATTAAATTAACCCCGGTTAAGGCTTCTAAGGGAAATGAGAGGGAGACTGGTGGTGTCAAACGTAAACAACAGTCCATATCAATTCAAAGAGTAAGTTGAACTGTTGAGGAAACTGCATCATGGCGCTTCAGTGCATAAGATCGGTGAAGATTATGGTCTTGGCAAATCAACTGTTTATATTGACCAAGGTTACCACCTCTAGTCCAGAAAAATAGTAATCCAGAAAAACTTTGGAACCAAGGTTCTGGAAAAACTGATGTTGTAACTGTAGTCACTTTTGCTAATACAGTGGAACTTCAAATATCGAACTGCTCCCAACTCCACCAATTATGTAAGTCTATTTTTATAAGTGTATTCTTGAGGGTCTGAAATGAATTAATATAATTTACATTATTCCTGATGGGAATAAATTTGTTCGGTAACGGCACTCGAACAGCCGTCTGGAACGAAGAAAGTTTGATATTTGAGGTTCCACTGTACAAATATATTATTTGTTGGTGAAAATTTAAGAAAAAAAAAAATCAGATGTAAAGCTCACTGAATAACTTTTTCAGGTGGGGACTCTGATGGCAAGGTGGAGAAACCCTTCTCTCTCAATTCATGGTATTGAGGGAGCGTTCAGCGAGCCAGGAGCAAAAACGGTTATACCCCGTAAAGTCATTGGCAAATTCAGCATCCGCATTGTTCCTAACCAAACTCCTGAGTCAGTCAGTAAACTGACTGTTGACTACCTGAATAAACAATGGGAAAAGCGAAACAGTCCAAACAAGATGAAGGTATATTATCGATTTTTTTCTTAGATTTTTAATTTTATTTATTAGTAATGACATGATTTCCTTTCGCATTATTTTGTTGAAATCTTATTTTGACCTTGCCTTGAAAGAGATCTCTTATAAAATAAGCTTAATTTGCTTTCAAATGATAAGTTATTATATAACAATTTTCAAAGCTTAAAATCTCATTATACACACACTTGAGAATACTGTATTATACCAGGGCCTTAATTGTATGATAAAAAAAAATTTGACTGTTGTAACAGCTTAATAGATTACAAATTTCCAGTAATCAAAACCATGCTTTTTGGAAACTAAGCTGTACGATAGATTTTCATACTAAGGTATATTATTAGTTTATCTTGAATGTTTTTTCCAGTATTTTTAAAACTCTTCTGTCTTGTAGTTTTAAGGGTCCTAAACTGACTTTCAAAATATCATAAAATATATGCCTTTTCCATTTAACTAGTTTAACTTGTAATGAAATTGCACATTTTTCATGTTGAATAGGTTTAGCACTTACTGTAAATATAATTGCTTTTTTTTTTTTTTTTTTTTTTTTCTCTCAACAAGTCGGCTGTTTCCCACCGAGGCAGGGTGACCCAAAAAAGAAAAAATCCCCAAAAAGAAAATACTTACATCATCATTCAACACTTTCACCACACTCGCACATTATCACTGTTTTTGCAGAGGTGCTCAAAATACAACAGTTTAGAAGCATACACACATAAAGATACACAACATATCCCTCCAAACTGCCAATATCCCAAACCCCTCCTTTAAGTGCAGGCATTGTAACTTCCCATTTCCAGGACTCAATCCGACTTATCTGAAAAAACCGGGTTTCCCTGAATCCCTTCACTAAATATTACCCTGCTCACACAATATCCAATAGAACATCAGGTCCCAAGTACCAATTCATCTTCATTCACTTCCTACCTAACACGCTCACAGCACCTTGCTGAAGTCCAAGCCTTGCCTAAAAACCAACCTTTACCCCTCTCCTCCAACCCTTTAGAGGACGGGCCCTTACGCACCCCCGCCTTCCTTCCCCTATAGATTTTTATATGCTTTCCATGTCATTCTAACTTTGATCCATTCTCTCTAATGAACAAACCACCCTCAACAACCCTCTTCTGGCCCTCCTGATCTAATTACTTTTCCTAATTTCCCACACTCCGAATTTTCTGCCATAATATTTACACAAACACCTTGCCCTTAACCCTTCAGGGTCCAAGGCCAAAATCTGAAGTGGTGCTCCCAGTGTCCAAGAAATTTTTGAAAAAAAAAAAAATTATTTTTTCGTCTTATCAGAAATTAAAGAGCATATTTTTTGTGAAGGTAATAGACAAAAAAAAAAAATTCTGATCAGTACTTCCGAGATACAGTGCCAAGAAAGTTTGTCGAAAAATGATGTAGTGGGCGCAACATCGACGAATTCCATATACGCGCATTACATTAATTTGCGGTTTTGTTGTTTTGTCTTTTCTTTTCCAATTTTTTTCTATTCCTACAACATTTGGGGCCTGAGAGACCAATACTAGGTATATAATGTATAAATATAAACTCACTGTATTGAACACAATAACCAGAACTAAAGTTTATTATCAAATTTTATTGTTTACCAATGTTTATTACAAAAAACATGCACAATGCTTGTATAATAACTAAAGTTCTATCATATATTTACATATTTACTATCACTGGACATGGTTTTTAGAACTGCAGGAGCTTGTGGGAACTCCTTGAAACAAGGCACCATACACAGAGCCACTTACATTCCCTCACACATAAACCGAGTGTCTTTGGCGTCTTAGTTGCCGTCTTTTTGTTTGTGCACAGAAGACGATGCCTCTCTTCTGAGCAAATTTCTCTGAGTTGAAGGAAGTTGTATTATGAAATAATCACCTTCCCCTCCTCGAAACGCTTGGGTATATCCTGAGGAATTCGGAACCTGTGTGTATAGCAGGTGTTGTTTAACTGGTACTTCATTATGAGTTGTCCAAACAACAGACAACCAAATGCACCATACGGTGTCTGTTGCCAGTCTTTATTTGGTACATATTAAAGGGATTGAGCATTGAAATGTCCATGAGAAGGAAGAAAAGTTCAAGTACCACTTGTAACTCTTACGAACACAGTCAACCAACAAAACCAATCTTGTATGTCACATTCGTCAACCAAGCGCATGTTTTGTGTATAATCAATCACTGTCACTGGTTTTTCTTCGAATACGTTCAATATTCACCTGACTCGATCAAACTTTGCCACTGTCCTTGCAAATTCATTACGGTGCATGGTTTCAACAATGTGAAATCGTCGTTTGTCCATGCCACCGTAATGCCATGAAATGACAATGGCAGTAAACACCTGCACTTCATCACACACGAGCACCTGCGTTGAGCCAGGGCATATGTGATTACAATTAGAAACGCACTGTGCCACACACATCTGTCTTGTTCACCTCGCATGATAATCACTGAGTAAAGGGCTTGTGTACAGTATCTGTATATAATGTATGCCCCTTACAAGAATAAGCCATCATGTTTCTTCTCACTACTCACCCTGATATACCCAATAACATCTTGGTATCTTTCAATGTTTTACTACCGTGTATACAACAATAACCAACACCTGCCACTGTCCACAATCACAGAGTACAAACAGTTTTTATACCAAAGCGTTTCCTCTTGCTCGGTATGTCCTGCTTGAATGACATTCTACCTTTGAACAAAAAATCAAAGACTCGTAATTACAGATTCTTGAATGGAATAAGAGTATAGCTGAACTTTTTTGTTTGAGATACATGAAAACATTTTCTAATCTTGTATAACCAGAATCACTTCTGTCAGGCCTGGTTTTAGTCAGAGAATTGGCAACATACGAAAGAGTAGGATAAACCTGTTCACTGGTTGATTTCTCTGAAGAACCGGTAGAAATAAGCGCGATCTGAGGACCAGTATACTTTTATATTATGCTAATAGACGTGAGGCCATAATCATAATTGTTGCAATAGCAATACATTTCTGCAACAGTTGTCTCTTTCCACCTGTGTAGTCTGACTATGGTGATAAGATCGGTATTTTGCATGGTGTACTCACAATAACTTAATACTCCCTGACAATTCCATCAATGGCAGGTCAAAGAAAATTCCAAAGATTCCCGTTTCCTTGGCCGTGGTTCCAAGGGACAAGTAGGTAGAATTCCACTTTGAGAATCATCAGTGGTGAGGCTTGGGAACGAAAATTGGTAATTTGCAGCCCTCCACAACGGTTTGCTGGTGGATACTGGAACATCATAGGCTGGTTGTGCTGGGGTTGTGCTGTGTGGGCTGGTGGCTGGCGCATCCGCTTTGTCCATTGAACTGACAGTCAGCAGCGAGGGTCCCAGCTGGCCTGGTGAGGTCACGCATGGCGGTGCCATCGTAGACTGATGCCTGTGGTCTAACCATGCCATCGTAGCCACACAACCTCACTATCACTACCTAAAACTGGTGTAGGGCCACGGGATGTACTCCGGGATGTACTCCGTCCCGGGCATAGCATAGGTACACTACCCGAGTGCCTGCGGCGGCGCCCATAACCGACGCTTCACTGGTGAATATGATTTCCGCACTATCACTACTCCGATTGATCGTCGATCGCAATTAAAAATATCATCCACGTCACAATCAACAACATTACAGAAGTCAGAGGCCTGGCCACGCGAAAATATTAGTTTTCTTCTGCGATGAGGAACAACCAACCGTGAGTACGAGTGCCCACACCAGAGGTATAAGGAAAGGATCGCAGGTTTTCTGCACTATTAACGATATCCTGGTCATTTCCCTTTTCGTTCACTAACTGAACAAAGCCGTAGAAATTCGTCTTCATTTCCACTTCCATCGTGTCAGACTATCAGAAAGGAAGAGAGAGTCCCATTTTCCGGGAGTGAGAGCTGACTAGCGACGATGCATGGTGAACAACGGTAACTGATCCGCGTTCCCACAATGCCTAAGCGGGCGCCAAGATTTTTTGTTTATGGCGCACGACCCACCACGCAGACCCTTTCTCTCACAAATGTAGGCCATGAGCATTTTCGCGCTAATTTGATGGCGCTAGAATTTTGGGCATAGATTCTACAGTTTGGACATTCAACTAAAGCCTTGATCTATGCGAGGGGGGACCCTGAAAGGGTTAAACAACATCTCCACTGCCTCGCAACCGTCTCCTCGCTGCTGAAATTACCACCCAAGCTTCACACCCATATAAGAGTGTTGGATACTACTAATACTTCATACATTCCCTTCTTTGCCTCCATAGATAACGTTTTTTGACTCCACATATACCTCAACCACCACTCTCCTTTTTTCCCTATCAATTCTATGAATAACCTCATCCTTCATAAAACCATCTGCCGACACGTCAACTCCCAAGTACTAAAACATTCCTTCTTCCATACTCACCCCCCAATTTGATATCCAATTTTTCTCTAACTAAAATCATTTGATACCCTCAACACCTACTCTTTTCCTATGTTCACTTCAACTTTCACCTTTACACACATTTCCCAAACTCCATCCACTAACAGAATCATCACAAAAAAGAACTGTGTCAATTTCCCATTTTGCATTTGATTCCCCAAAATTTAATCCCACCCCTCTCCCGAACACCCTAGCAATTACTTCCTTTACAACCCCATCTATAAATAATTAAACAAACCATGGTGACATTACACATCCCTGTCAAAGACCTACTTTTACCGGCAGTAGTCTCCTCTCTTCTACATACCCTAACCTGAGCCTCACTATCCTCATAAAAACTCTTTACAGCATTTAATAACTTACCACCAATTCCATATACATGCAACATCTGCCACATGCTCCACTATCCACTCTATCATATGCCTTTTTAAAACCATAAATGCAATAAAAACTTCCCTACCTTTATCGAAATTACTGTTTTCCACATATATGCTTAATGTAAACACTTGATCTACACATCCCCAACCCACTCTGAAACTCC